TCTTTTTGAGGGTAGGGAGTCCAGTCCATTGGATTCCCGTGTTCAAAAGGTAATTTCTACCCCTGGTAGGTATGTGCAACTGCGAATTCAAAAATGGGGGGCTCTGGAACTAATTCAGACGTGAAAATGGGGGTCTCTGGAACTAATGTTTGTTGAATATGGGATGCTCTGGAACTGGCTATGTACGAAAATGGGGGTTGCGTTGCATGCATGCCTTCAAGGCCCGGCTTCAACGTATTCTGAAGTACGATGCACTGGAACGGAAATGTTAAAAACTAGGGTCTCAGGAACGGCAAAAATGTAAGAATGCTCTGGAACGAGATATTCTTAAAAATGCGATGCACTGGAATGGACGTTTAGGGTTGAAAATAGGGGTCTCTCCCACGGCACATACCTACCATGCAATATATATGGAGTGCCCCCCCCCCCCGGGGTGATTACGTGTACTGAGCCAACACAGCCGAGACACTGAGGTTTTCCTCATTGAGGGGTACTTGTAATCGAAAGTGGAGTAAAACCAGGAATTGAGAATACCGAATTAAAAGCTGCACTTTAATTTTTTATTTTAGAGTGAGAAATCTGAGCTACGAACAGTACTGGAGAGCTTTCTAAACAAGACAATGAAAATCAAGATGTCAGATGGACGATCGCTGATAGGATCATTCTTGTGCACAGACAAGGATGCTAACCTCATACTTGGCAACTGTCAGGAGTACATTCACCCTCCAGGTTAGTATATGTAGTATAGTGGTAGTATTAGTATAGGTGGAGTATTCATTTTAATGTCTATGTCTATGGCTATGTTATTACATGCAGTCTGTAACAGCCTGTGAGGCACAGATAAATTTTAAACAGATTTAAGAGATTCTAGCTGCAGTAATGAGCTAATAAATTACCCCAGCATTTTTATATATATATCTCAAGAGTACATAATGGGAGAAGAGTATGACACTGTTTTAACAGCGTTTTGCGTAGTTTTCAACTTGAATTTATTCTATCAATATGTGAATAAATATATTCAAACTTTACCTTGTTTTTGTCTCGGATTCTCCCTTAATCATATGACACCACCAGTTTACCTGAAAATCGTGTTCTTCAAAAAAGTTCTTTGAATACGACACGGTTTCACACAGTTTTCCCAAATGTTTGCATCTTATCGGCCAATGTTGATATGCGGCGGCAGCACCAGGTTGTAACTACGACACGCTGGGGGCTGTTGGGGATATTAGGTAAGCACAGTAACAGCACTTGTTTCGCTTTACTTATCATCAGGAACACGATGGCAACACAGCTAAAATCAGCTGCTAGCTCGCCGTGAGCACACATTTATTTCTAGCATGCTCGAAACGCATTACACACTGAATACAATTCGATGCCTAATATCCCCAACAGCCCCCAGCGTCCCGTCACAGACAATAGAACACTAATCCGATAACAAACATTGGCCGATAAGATGCAAACATTTGGGAAAACTGTGTGAAACCGTGTCGTATTCAAATAACTTTTTTGAAGAACACATGATTTTTAGGTAAACTGGTGGTGTCATATGATTAAGGGAGAATCCGAGACGAAAACAAGGTAAAGTTTGAATATATTTATTCACATATTGATGGAATAAATTCAAGTTGAAAACTACGCAAAACACTGTTAAAACAATGTCATACTCTTCTCCCATTATGTACTCTTGATATAATATTATATATATATATACATATGCACTCATGATACCATTTTGCTGCAGAAATGGAACCAAAGGAAGAGCCACGTACCCTGGGCTTAGCAATGATACCTGGTCACCATATAGTATCAGTGCATTTGGATAAGGTTACAGAAGATGAACCAAGGATACTATAGCCATCTAATGTAAATTTACTCAGTTTGTCTGTAAATAGATTATGTACAAATTGCAAAATGCAAAATTGAAGGCTATTTGAGTTTAATTGTTGACCATCAGTGTTAAAAAACTTGTAAACCTCAATGTACGAGTTGTATGTGTAGTCAAAATGTCAAAGAAGTTTGTTTCTAATAACATAATTTCACATATATTTCACAAAATGCTTCACAAAAGTCACACATTATACAATATGTATGATTCAGTCAGCAACACTTGATCAGATAGTCCTTTGCTGCACTGCTGATTACAGATCACTGAGTAACAGTCTACAGGCTTGACACTTGACTAATATTCACGTCTGAGCCACAACTGAGTTTCATGATGTTGGGATAATACCGTATAGATGGATTTCTATGCCATATTTTCCCCAAGAATATATTTACATTATTTTGTTTTACTAAACCGAAGCAATGCCTTTCACAATTAGACGTCAAAGCAAACGCATAAAAAAAAAATTGCACAAATGCCAAGTAATTTATCAAGTGTGCCTAGGTACTGATACATGGAAAAATCTTTCATCATTAAATACAGAAGACCAGTGGCACAAAACAATGTGATAGCAAATCAAATCAAATGATATTGTCCTCATGCCTGTCCTTTTCAAGTGTTACCCTATAATTCATTTAGATTTTTTAAATAAATAAGTTGTCACATGATTCAAAATGTATCGATTAATTAGAAAAATTTCTTGCTGCTGTTCTATTAATCCTGGAAGTAATAGGCTAGTAATTCTTATCAGTATGTTCGGAAGAAGAACTGAAAACAATTCCACGTCCTCGGAATTACACTGGTATGATGAACATATTCATACATGTGTATATATAATATTTATGAGAACATAAATCATCTGAAACAAGCAATAAGATTAAAAAACCATTTGGTGTTGTAAAACCAAGAAATAAGATCATATAAAAAAGAAGAAAATTGCTAATAAAGCGTAATTTTCTGTCACGGGTGACAAAGGACAAGTAAATGCATGTGATAACCACGGTGACTATAGTAACCAACCCATTATTGAGTACTATATCATCTCTACTTACCATGCCAAGTATTTGCAAATAATGTCAAACTATGCTTAATTGTGCATATTCTAGTTATAATGGAGCTATAGGGCAAAAACTCTGCTGATTTGTCCATGTCTTACAACATGAATACAAATATGTTTAGCTCATCAATCACTAAAAACTAGGAGAGTGGGAGGGCAAGATGTGTACTGTTATACAAATACAATTAGGCTGGTATGAAGGGATAATACAGTACACTCGTAACTGTATTATTACACAGAAATAAACTGTATTTAAATGTGACATCCGCTATGTAATGTAATGTTGCATTCAAGATGACACATTTTGACAGTTTTATAAAGTAACAGAGCTAGTAGTCATGGTAAAATAAATACTGCTATTGCAGAAAAAATAGTTACACTGGGATCATATATTACGTACAAGCATCATGCTTGAAAAAACTACAAATCTCGACAACTTAAACAAATATATGTACATCAAACATAAACTATATATGTATATCTACCACCATGCTAGCAACTGAGTTTACATTACATATCATCATCTTATCTTTGACGTCATGAACTTACGTACGTGTGCACATGTACATACATAGGTTCACGTTATCATTTTATAGTACATGAGACATTCCAAAATGGCAGTTTTCCCCCCGAAAAACTCAAAAAGTACCAACTAATAAATATAGATCTTGTGCAAACGACTAAACCTTTTCCCTAACAACTTCCAATACCATGTAAACCATGTTGGTTCTCAGAGGGTTAATAAGGACCATTCAATTTGTATAGGCACTCATTGAACGGCAGGAACATGAATGCGTCCAATTTATCATTATCTTGTGGGCCTAATTTGCCAAACACCACGTTACACAATATGGCAGAGCATATGTACTATACCTCGTAAAAAATTTATCAACGTTGTTCTTTGAAAACACTGACAAGTAAGAATACTCATTGCAGGCAAACAGCAACTTGTTTCAATATCAATGACATATTCTTGAAGGGCTCACTAAATAGTATGTTACAACCAAGTAAAAACAAGTAGTATAACATCAGTGGAATAAGCTATACTTGTATGATATCTTGATGATGACTGCATTAGCAATACATAATTGAATACTTTAGCTACAAATACCAAATAAGCAGTCCTGATATGGGTTAGGTAGATGTAGTTATACCAGTGAAAATAGGACAACCATTCAAAAATTATCAAAAAAACAAAAAAAATACAGATAGGCATTGACATTGGTAATATTATAGCAGACAGACTGATATCTGGCATAAACAAAAAACAAGATTGCTTGTCCTGATGAAGTCTTACATTAATAATCTGTAACTTTCGATACTGTCCCCCCCCCCAACCCTTTTTAATCAACTTCCTTATTTCGGAGCTACCAGGGTAATACTACCAAGGCCTGTCCACTTGATGGTATTTTGATACTACAACTATTATCAGTAATTATGTCATTTAGTATGACGTACAAGTCAAAGTTGTATTTTATAAACTGCACGTGTGCATGCACATTACCTGCTACTATGCCTGCGTTGGTATATAGTTAAATATACATGTCCAACAAAACAAATGATAAAATTTCCCAAGCAATGCTGTTTGATATGGAGACACAGTCTAAACCATGAGTAGCTGTTCCCACAAAGAAATTACTATGCAGGCAACATGGCAACCTATAATAGGTATAATAACTAAGTAGTGCTAGATAAAGTCAACAATGAGCACACTGTGAACGACTTGGCATTTCCTGAAAGAAAGAATGAAAATTGACGCATGACACGGTGACCTTTCAACATTCATTTTTGAATGTATATTTCCTTTAACATAGGGGCATACCACATACCATCGCCTGTTCACATTGCAGGGTCACCATTTGCCCCATGATATCGCATGCTGCCTCAATTTTAACACAGGTTTATATGGCATGACTTAATATCATGTCCACATTAGTCCGTGAATCCGAGGTACAGACTGTAGTCAAGCCAGGTTGCTTTTGTATGCTTGTAATTGTAAACTCAATAGAATTTTTGGGGAGTGTGACTGCATTAGAAAATTGGGAAGGCAAACGTATACATTGTCCCTTTAAATAACCTATATCTCATATTCTAGTTCCCTGTATAGCTTATTCGTTTCTTGAGATATCACACACAATGGACAATAACCACAATGACGACAGCACTATCCTTGCTTAGGTCTTCATCTCATCATCAGAAATGACAACCAAAATATACTATTCACTGATGGGAGTACTAACCTCCCTCTCAGGGTGGAGATAGCATGTATAATAATGACTTGTGATCTCAAGTGTCATCATACTCTTAAACTTGACAAGAGCTTACGAGCTCGCATTCACCTCGAAGGAGATCGCTCAATGTGCTGCTTGAGATACGATATCTACCCAAGAACTGCTATTTTCCTCCTGAAGCAGAGCGGGTGTGTGTGTGTGTGTGAGCCTACGTCGGAGCAGGCCGGAATGAGTAACTCGCGCAGCTTTGGGAGAAAACACAAGAGGTCGGGTCAGCGTCGTGTCGCGAAGCACGCACGAGTGACACTCGCGTCGCCGCAAGATTCGCCTGATCTCGAGTTTGAGTGCCTTCGCCGCTGCTGCCGCTGCCGTCGCAGTACCAACGGTAGTACAACTCACGGAATGTGTTCTGTTCGGACGATCGCAATCCGTGACGCGCGCTGGCTCCCGGCATGCGTGTCGATCGTAAGATGGCAAAGCCATCCCCGCTGCCATCGCTGGATATACAAGAGAGATCTGTGAGTGTGGCTAGCCGAACCAGGAGACGTAGTTACTCGGAAAGAGGCCGTGTCTCTCCTGTGAACCTATGTATCCTCTCCACCAGTTGTGATCGGACCTAGAGATGCGCAAAACGTCTAGCTTTGATTTGCATTCCAGACTTACGCAACATGTGCATCACAGTTTTATCGACTCGTTGCAACTTGCACATAAACATCAATCGAAATTAAGCACAAAACCAATCCGTTTTTAATGATCATGAGATTTCAGCCACCTGTTCAATTCAATTTGTGTACCTTGTAACGTCCGGTTAAAAACTTGGTGGACAATCTCTTGTACGAAGCAAATTTTATCGCCTTTTAGTCTAGATAGACATTATCTCATTTTCTCAGAATTTACAAGGACGAAACACAAAAATAGCCGATTTTCAGGACTTTTCAGACATGGGAAACAGCACGTTAAAATTTCGTAACTTTTTGTGCAGGTTTTTAAGGACCTGTACAAACTATGATGCATGTGTGCTCATACGTGTCTGTCTGCACGTATGTGTGTACACATGCACGTGGGCTAATACCTATCTGTCACACTGATGACCTCGCCCTTCTTGAAACTCATCTCATCTTGCTCTTGAGCGTCAAAGTCGAAATTCGCATCTGCCTTCGGTAGCTACAAGAAGAAAGTGTTTGTATACGAGTGACGAAACGATCGCAAACTCTCGTGACTTCCGGATGCCTTATTTATACATTCCAAAAGAATGTTCATTCACACAATAGCAGCATTAACGATTTAACATGGTTTAACGACGATCCCCATTAGGAGTCCATCTTAAGAGAGTATATTTTCACGTGCCGCAACCTTTACCTCCACCATGTCCTTGAGCAGGATCGTCTGCGTTCGACTCACAGACGATGTTCTATGATACTCCACCAGCTCATTCAGAGTATTGAACTTGACAACCCAGAGGAAGTACTTGCCGACGGAATCACGCAGTATCTTAAAGTGCTGCACTCCGTCAGGGCACCTGTAGAAGCGCGCAGGTAGGAGCAATGGATATAATGTACAGGTAGAAAGAAGGTATGCAATGCACAGGTAGAAACAATGTTTGCAAATGTACAAGTATAAACAGTGTATGCAATGCATGGGTAGAAAGAAGGTATGCAATGCACAGGTGGGAACAAAATATGAAAATATGCAACGTACAGGTAGAATTTCAGAAACAAGGTACGTAATGTACAGGTAGAAACAAAGTATGCATGATACACCTGGAAACCAAGTGCAAAAATGCAATCACTGCTGAAAATGAGAATATTTGATCCATGCAACATTTTGTACAGCTATAGATTCACCTAACAACTCATGTGTATGTTGGTGGGTTGAACAGAGCAACACTAAACTTTATGCAATATTTTGTGCATGTTATATTAGCATACAACACACATATCTATTGCGAGCCTTACCATGAAAACATCTCCACTACGCTAAATAGAAGTAGTACATTATATATATATATATATATATAATATATATATATATATATATATATATATATATATATATATATATATATATATATATATATATATATATATGTATATATATAATATATATATATTATCATGGCATTATACGTTCACATGGACCACAGCAGCACTGCTTACCTTACGGAGAGAGAGAAATCTCCTGGCGTACTCTCGCTATCGCGGATGAGAAAAATGCCTTCCATCACCTGCTGGCCGAGAACTTTGGCAGCATCGGCGCGACTCATCTTGCCGAAATACCAGCTACAAGCAAGCCGATAGTTAACAATTAACAAACAGGGCGCGAAATTAGCACCGGCCCACCGGCATATGCTGGCAAATTATTTGGAGGGCCGGTAACATTGGCAAAACACAGGCGCTCCGAGTGGGTGGTTTCAGCCGTGTTAGCGAGTACCTACAGGCTACATTATTGTTTTACCTGAAGGATATCATGCCATAATTTATCAACATTTTACAAATTTGAATTCGAGAACGCAAGCGTGAAACATGACACTGATTTTACAAACAAAATTTGTGAGGGCTGGTAAATTATGGTGAGGACTGATAAAAAATTGCTGTTACCAGCCCTCTGGGCCAGTGCAAAAAAGCTGAATTTCGTGCCTTGATAAAGAAAACCAGTCATTCACAATCGCAAAAAATGGCGCACACTAATAACAAAAACAGGGTTAAATAAAGAGCTAGGGAATATATATTATATAATGTCAGAGCGTGAATATTTTCTTCCAGTTATAACTGTAGACCACATGTAGAATTACTAATGGACACACCAGCACTGCATTAAACAGCAAGCACATAGTCATAATAAATCATTACAATATTTGTAGAATACCATCTTCACGGTGGCACGTGAATGATAACACATTAGCAATCATCTGCAACTGATCACATACTAAATTATTATGCTGTCTGATGCAGCTTATTTTAGGCAGGTGATCTACACAAGTAGCTGGGCTTGAGCACTTACTCATGAGATTTCATTTCAATGTAGTTCCTGGGAACGAAACCTTCACGACCGTCTACTTCTGCCCTATACCAGTTTTCATCCTCATCTTTACTCAGAACCTGAAGCCAAGAATGCTCTATGATTAAAACTTGCACCGAGAACTAGCTACAAAAAGAGATTCTAACGTAAGAAATGCGAGACGCGCCCCAGGAGCAACAACAGACACATACCTTAATGACGGCTCCCTGCTTAAAGCTAAGTTCATCAGCTGCAGTTGCCTGAAAATCGTGCTTTGCCATGGCTTCCATGATCTTGTCGGGTACGCACACAGGCGAACCCACTCCCGGCCAGCACGTAGAGGATTGCTAGTGCCCTCAACCTGAGATCATTCATGCAATACTCAAGCATTAGTAGGTAAGTATCAGTACAATTATGGCTGCTCAATACATGCACTTTGTGCCATGTCTAACCAACTAGTAGATGTAGCAGATGGTGGTTGCCACCTTCTTTTTTAACCCAAGTCAGATACATTATGTTGCAAGAAGTTACTGTTGAGTAATTGTCAAGAGTGACAGATCGACGTAAATTAATTTTATGCATTTTTTTTCCACAACTGAACACCATTAGAATGGCAGGGCACATAAAACCAGTAAGATATAATGACAGTCACACTGCATACTATTCACAGGCATTATACTTTTGTGGCCATGCTTGTAGACATCGTAAAATACTTTTGTTTTGATTGTTATGGACCTAATTGTTGTACCACGGGCTGCAAATTACGTACAACGTCCTTACCCTCCATCACCGGTATTTCACTGGTCACAGACATACAATGATATAATACCCTTGTGCCAGAACGAATATATAGAGCTGCAGTACAAGTTGCACATTGCTGGCAACTGTCGAAACTAGTAAACTGTGCACTGAAAATTTATTTGTCAGGTGACTATCTGAGCCTGAGGCAATGACTGTCAGTGACAGTGTCAATGTAAAACCATGATACACACATCATGTATTTGTGAGTAAAACTAATACACAATTAAATGATTAAAATGATAATATTGTGTCTGTGTGAAGAACCTGCTGGTAGTTCAAAAGGCATCTGCAAACATGACTCGGTGACTGTAAACAGTAAAGGCTACTACTAGTACTACAGTAGAGGCTGTCAACTATAACATGGTTAGTCGGTCTGCCTAGTAATAAAATCAAGGCCGTGGCTACGCGACCGGTTCCGGACAAGGAGCCGCTAGGCTACGCGCCCAGACATCCTTCTCACACAGTGATCTTGCAACACGTACACGCATGATTGCGCAACGGTAGTCTCTTCTGATTGCCGAGTGTGTGTGTGTGTGCGACAGAGAGAGAGGGAATGTGTATGTGTGTGTGTGCGCGCACGTGTGTGTGTGTGTGCGACAGAGAGAGAGGAGAGAGAGAGAGAGAGACGAGAGAGAGAGGACCGAAGAGAGAGGACGATAGAGAGGAGGAGAGAGAGAGAGAGAGAGAGAGAGAGAGAGAGAGAGAGACGAGAGACGAGAACGAGAGAAGAGAGAGAGCAGAGAGAGAGCAGAGAGAGAGATAGAGAGAGAGAGAAGGACAGAGACGATGAGAAGAGAAGCGATGAGAGAGAGAGACGAGAGGACGAGAGAGATGAGAGACGAGAGCAGAGAGAGAGAGAAGCAAGGATCGGAGGAGAGCGAAGAGAGGAGAGAGAGGAGATGAGAGAGAGAGAGGTACGGTGCTAGAGGCCAGCGGGATTCTCGCTGTGTGTTCGAGAGACCGACCAGAGCTGTGCGGTGGGCAGAGCGACACCTGCTGTTGTGAAGAAAGACGAGAGCGACGAGAGGACGGCATGACAAGGATGAGACGCTTAGACGGCAGCAGTGTCATATAGGGCCTATTGTATATTTTTGGCAATCAGCAGAGCGTCCGTGCGCAATCATGCGTGTAGCGAGTTCGCGCGATCACTGTAGGGAGTGGATGTCCCTGGATGCGTGGCCTGGAGGCTAGGGCGGACCGCCCTTCGACGCGTAGCCCACTGCGTTTAAAATCAAATAGCCTAATTTGAGCCGGAGCTGAACATCAGTGATCACAAGTTCAGACACAACATCTGACAACATCATACATGTTAGTCTTGCTGTTATATTATCTTACTCCTGATAATATCACTAGACGTTTCCGATGTTATAAGTAGAAAGGATTCGCCATAAATGTGCAGGTTCAGTAACGTAGTCGATATTTCATAAATGTTTAAAATACTTAAATATTGCAGAAAACTTACGGGAATGAGACGAAACGGCCATATCATAAACATGTGCGCTTTTGTTTTAAAATCGGGGCTTTTCGTTCCGTGGAAAAGGCAGGGCGCTGTAATCGCAGAATCCCGGTGTCACGCAGTGGTGTCACTAACGTAAATGATTACCGCTCCTGTCGTAACGCGCCGCCTAGGGCCTACTTCGCTAGAGCCTCCCACAGCTGGAGGGCGACTCGCTCAGTGTAGCGGATGCGCAGCCAAGCGTAACATGAACGACTTGGTATTATCACAGGTTATGGGTCACGGGCAGAAGTGTTTATGTTTTATGTTGCGTTTTATGTTTTAGATGCAGGCAGCAATAATGCAATAATGCAATAATACAGGCAGCAATATACAGCAGATAAATATAAATTTATTGAGACATAGTAATTAATAAAAATAATAATTATTATAGTTGAGACATAGTAATTAATAAAAATAATTATTATTATAACTAATACGTTACTAATAATTATTATATTTATAAATTATACTATTTATAGTAAATAATTATGGTACTAGAGTAGTAATAATATTAATAATAATATAATGTAGATTGTAGTAGTACTTGTTGTGTTAGTGATTACACCATTGGTTAACGCGTGTTCAAGTGTTAAAGGGAGAGTTTACTCTAGGTTCTAGGGTTATTTTCAGCTAATTTAGGTTATAATTACGGCTACATAAAAACTTTCATGCGTTCAATCACATGAGAAATATTTTTTTTTAATGTTTTAAAACTAACGACTACAGTTTGATTACAACGACGGTGGCGTCACTCAAAGCGCACGATCTGATAAGTTGCGCAAAACCACTTTCTAGCCAAGGGCTACAGACCGAGGGTGTTTCTTATTTATTAATTTAAAAGCAAAAGAATTGTAATATCTTATAAACGACATATAGTTTCAGTTATAATATGGATAAATTTGCTCTAAAATGAATATCGTTCATGAATAGCATTTAGGTATAAATATAATTGCACTTTTGTGATTAGCCCTCGGTCTGTAACGTGCAAAATAAATTGTCAAATACGCAACTTTTTTTGGGGGTGGCAGCACGGTCGCGGGTGTCATGGCGCGGGTTCAAATTTCGTAGCGGTGATGTGTAATTAATTATAACAATTAAATTAGGTATCTGGTAACAAATACGTGTGGGTACAGTTGTATGCAGTAAAATCCTAGAGGCTACTGTCCCTTTAACATATAGCTAGTGACGGTGGCTCCTGCTACCACACTGCCGTATATAAGCGCTGCACGTGAGGCAGTCGCTCTCTCGACATCATGTAAGCAAGCCACACTGACGTGCGAATAAACAGCTCATAAGTTGCTCACAATCCTATACGTTTCTATAACGCAACAGTACTAATAGTAATTATAAGAGTAATAATACTAATAGTGTGTTTGATTATACAAAAACGCCAGAGTGAAATGAAACAAAGTAATTTATATTTTATTTATACAATGAATAAATTCATTTACAGTTATAAGAATAACATAGGCTGAGAATAACTAATCTGGGGCAGAGTCATGAGATTATCATTAGTAGATTATCATGGGATTATCATTATTATAATTTATTATTAGTAGGAGTAGGGGGCAGGAGGAGGAGGAGGAGGGGAGAAGGTGTTGGAGTAGGGGGAGGAGGAGGAGGAGGGGAGAAGGCGTTGGACTAGGGGGAGGAAGAGGAGGGGAGGAGGAGAAGGAGGAAGAGAGAAGATGATGGAGTAGGGGGAGGAGAAGGAGGGGGAGGAGGAGGAGGGGGAAGAGGAGGAAGGCGAGGAGGAGAAAGGGGAGGAGGAGGAGCGGAGTAGGTGATGGAGATCAAATGAAGGTCATGGAGGAGTAGGGGGAGGAAGAAGAGGGAAGAAGGTGATAGAGTAGGGGGAGGAGGAGGAGCGGAGGAGGGGGAGGAGGAGGAGCGGAGAAGGTGATGGAGATCGAATGAAGGTCATGGAGGAGGAGTAGGGGAGGAGGAGGAGCGGAGAAGGTGATGGCGATCGAATAAAGGTCATGGAGGAGTAGGGGGAGGAGGAGGAGGAGGAGTGGGGAAGGTGATGGAGTA